CTGGGGTCTAAACCACAATATCCTGAGCATATGGCCCCCGTTCTGCACAAGGGTGAGCTGTGACAGCCAAACGCACCTGTGAGTGTGAGTGTGTGTCCTTCCAATGAAGACTGTACATTTCCTGAAAGATGTGGTTTCACACTAAAGGGAAACCAGCAATGAACAGCGGCTGTACTGGAACCCGGCGTGACGTTTGAGAACTGTGCAACGATGATGAATTGAGTTTAAAACGGGATACATGTCAAAGCAAACAGAATTTGCATCTGTTTGCTTTGAGTTACATGACACTTGACAGCACAGACACTCGCTAACAATGCCAATGAATTATCTGACATTCAGATGAAATGAAGTGTGTGACATAATGTGAGTTTAAGTATTTATACTCTAACCCTTGTGCACTAAGCACTTCCTCATGCCAAGAACATTAACCAAAATAAAAAAAAGACACTCCTTTAGTTTTTTGTTTTCCTGTGGGGAAGAAGAGAATCGTGTTTGTCAAATCTTTGTTGACTATATTGGTCAACGTTTTTCAGATTTTATCTTGTGGATCCTGCATGATAAAGAAATAAATGACTAACCGTGATGTGAAATATTTGTGTGGTATGCAATAGTATAACATTTAAATAAAATTAAGCACATCAATTCAGTTACACTATGTGGAATTTAATTATTTAATTTAATTTATAATTATTTAATTTAATTTAATTTAATTTAATTTAATTTAATTTAATTTAATTTAATTGTGTTTAATTTTATTTAATTTTGTTTAATTTTATTTTTTATTTTTTATTTTATTTTATCAAAGCAACCCAACAGTATTTGTTCAAGAAGTCAGAGACACCAATCAACAAGTAGTAATATATAATAAAAAAACTATAAAAAACATTGTAGTGATAGTACAACAATTAAACATTTAAATAAAATTAACCCCGTTATTTAATTTTATTTAATTTTATTTTCAAAGCAACCCAACAGTATATAACAAGGAGTAATGTGAATAAATCATTTTTCATATCTATATTATCATCATATGTTTTACATTGGCATACTTATTAATTTTAAATAAGCATTTAAAGAGCACCTAAGGTCCCCTAATGCAATTACAGACAATTTATTAATTTTAGGGCTGTCAATTTAGAAATATTAGTTTAAAAATTGCAGTATATCTTGATATTGAAATGTGCCCTCAAATAAAGTTACTTTGGCAGAAAGCATTGGAGTTCAATGTTCCTCTCATGGTTAGCTGTGTTGAGAATCATTTGCATAGGAATTTTCCCTCATAGATCAATAAAGTGGTGCTTTTTTATCAGTGTGTGTGATGCAATTTGTTTTTAGCTTGTTTGTGCACATTTTGATTGGTTGGAAGTAACACATGCACTTAAAGGCTGTCTTTCACTTTACAAATGTCGGACAAAATCTATCATATTGTGACATTAATGAGCCGTTTTATTCCCCTAAACTTCACCACATCAACAGGTCGTGTCAGAGCATGGCTAAGAGTCATGCTAAGTTCGACATAACTGTAATATTCTCAAGAAATCCTTCCTCTTTAGTGCACGTGCAGTCATGTGACCACACCCTGATTGGCTAAAAAGCAAATTATGGAATTATGTCACAGTTTATGCCAAGTTGTGGAAGGTACCGTACTTTCCATGTCCTGCTGAAGAGCATTGATTGGTCTTCATTGAGAGACTTTCCAGATCTCACAAACAAATAAAGTCTTTGTAGAGTGTGTCGCAACATTGAGTTTTTCATGCAGGCTGTACAAAGTGTACCTAATCTGACCTGTAAATGGCTTTTAGTGATGTAACCCAATGAATGGTCCGATATGATCAATTATTCATTGAAAGTAATTGTCAATTTGATTATGCATGACAAATTTCTTTAGAGTGCAATTACAAATTTCCACATACTTAAAAACTTCAATTTAACTTAAAGTTCAATTGCTGCCTTGAATTTTTAATCAGATTGGCTGTTCAATTTATTTCAACTTAAATCATATTAAACTGACTTGTAGTTGAATCTTGTATAACATAATAAATGAAGTTATAATTGGTTAATTTGATGGCTAAAAAAATGGAAAACATGTTGACTGATCAAATCAAAGAACAATAAAGCATGAACATATATTAATGTTTTTTGATGTTATCTTATTGCAGAATATACAGTATGATGCAAATGCTATTTTTGTTGTTTTTAAATAAATCAAGAATCACCTTGTATTGTCATTTTTTTTAAGTTGTATACTATTTTTGACATTTTAGGTCTGTTTATCATGTTTATTTGATGATTAATTTTTAATACTGACTTAATCTTTCATTTCATTTAAAGTACATATATGTATTTGTGTACTTGCTTTACTCTGTCCAATGCATGATATTTTGCATGGTGTACATTTCTTAATATTTTCAGTCCCAAATGTTTATATTGAATTAATTTGAACTTCCTAGTGATACAAAAATGACTTTATTTTCTTTCACTGTGATTTACATGTAATGTTGATCCAATTACATTTCCTGCAAGGCATCAATAAAAACTTAAGCCCATCAGTTTGATTAAAATCTGTGGATTAATGCTTATTAAAAGAGACAGACTGTATTTAGAAAGTTGAAAAAAGCGGCTTTTATTTACAGCAGTATTGCACAAATTAGCACAGAAATGGTTCAGTGCAAAATACAAAAAGATGCATTTAAACAAACAAACAAAAACAAATTATCATTGTGCTACAAATGTACTGGGTCCTGGGTGGCGTCAGATCGGGTAATGCGGGTGTTCAGTGCAACAGGACTGAAAAGACTCAGTCAGAGGTCCAGTGAGAAATACACAGGTTGGCCTGAAATTCATGAAAAAAAAAAACAAACACAAAAAACGGTTTGTTCTGGAATCAAAGGGCTAAAGAATGGAAATGCTGCTTAAATCTTTCAGCAAAGGCAAAGAATGAACACATGCAACATGACACAATGTAGTATGCATTGAAAAACGAGGTCTTTGGTTCGAGTGGTAAACCTGGAACGGTAGACAAGCTAAACATTGTCATTTTGGCAAAGAGCATCAAACCGATATACAAACAAATGCATATGATAACACAGGGCCATGCGTCTTCCACAAGTGGAATTGTCTAACCGATTTCCTAAACTTTCAGCAATACCTTTCATGGTAGGTAGTCAATACACCACTTCATATTTAAATCTTTGCAACTTAAAAAAACACATCATTGTTATACCAACATACTTGACGACTCATCCCGAGCCTTGTGCATTGATTACTGGAATACTGGGACAACGGTAATAAAAGGCAAAGCCGGGAGGAGAATCTATAAGCTGAAGTAAAGATGAAAGACTGGTTTGTTCAAGAAATCTACACAGGTGTATTTCCCTTAGTCCCTGAGGCTGTTAAAGGTCATTTAGTCAGGCCAGTTTGTTAGACTCGGGGTAAGGCTGGAGTTAAACAGTGGTTGTAATGTGTACACTACTAGTGGACATGGGCAATTAACTAGAACGGTTGCAAATTTCAATCCCAAATTTGGTGTAACCATAAACAATGTTTCTGTGAATAAAATCCTGATCTATCACCATTGTGCCCTTGAGCAAGGCACTTAAACGCAGTTTCTTCCATGTGCATGATCACTTCGGAAGAAAGCTATTCCAAATAAAACCCCTTGACCTAAACTATAATCACAAAACTAGTCATAAACACATGCTGTTTGAACATTAATGGAATCGTCAATTACAAGCCCAAAATGTCACAGACCAAACAAGGAATCTAACAAAACCGAAATACCAAAATGTGGAATGTTTATGATGTCAAAACAACAAATACGTCCATATTAGTTACACATACTTACTATCTTTGCCTGTCCAATTTGATTTATTTAGTGACAGGTATTCAATAACATAAAACAATGCTCGAGATATGAGATTTAGGAGTACCTGAAGGTGTTCAGAAGACATTTTCACATGACTCTCATCTTTAAACACAAGCATAAAGCGGCCCTTTGATCTTTGCAGGAAAAGTGTTGCAGATAGCAAAACGGCAAAGCTATTTTCTTGGCTTTCTGGGTAAGAACGGGAAAAAAGTCAAATGTTTGTCAAATGTAGGTTCATGTTGTGTTGTATATAACGTGATTTGAACGTTCAGTGGCAAAAAGGGTTCAAGTTAATATTATTTGAAATTACGTTAAGGCAATATCAACGGTTATAACTAGGTGAAATATTAGCTAAATTTCACAGGCCAAAAAAGGTCTATTGCCCATTGTTGCTCACACAGAAGTCACTTTCAAACCAAACAGCTTTCAGTCGGTCGAAGCGGCGAATTTCGCATGACCAACTTGAACACGAGTGAAATCTCAATGTCTTCCTTTCAGTATATCAGTATGGTGAGCGTGATTTCACCAAGTACAACATGTTCCTGGAACAACATTCCTATCAACCAATCAGAAATGAGGGATAAGTTTTCAGGAAATATCTGTTTTAGGCTTACAATCAGGGTTAGGTGCTTCTACACCCTTGTTAATCAGCTATCATTTCACACTGTTTTTAGGAATAAATTATGGGTAGGGATTGGGTGAAGTCTATATTTTTGGACAGTTATGTTGATCCAGGATCAACTAAAGATGTTGATGCAGGAACATGTCTTACTTGGCAAAATCACGGCGACCATATCAGTATACAGACTACTGAGTGAACATCATATAACCTAATAAATATTAATGTGTCTCTCCTATTTGTAACAAAGGTTACAACGCAGTAGCTCGGTGCTTCAAAGTTTCCCGATGTAATGTGAGTCATGTGAAAAGGACTTTAATTATCTGGCTTCAAAGTGAGAATGCATTTCCGATGTAAAATCCAAGAAAAAGACTGACTAAAGGTAAATCATCATGCAAATGGTATAGGTCAAATTTCTATATATTGTTGATGCTTTAAGTCATGTCTTCAATTGCAATTTCATTCAAATTCCAACTTCATTTGCTGTTTTGGGGTTTATCATGTTCTATTCTGGGTAGGGATTGGGTGAAGTCTATATTTTTGGACAGTTATGTTGATCCAGGATCAACTAAAGATGTTGATGCAGGAACATGTCTTACTTGGCAAAATCACGGCGACCATATCAGTATACAGACTACTGAGTGAACATCATATAACCTAATAAATATTAATGTGTCTCTCCTATTTGTAACAAAGGTTACAACGCAGTAGCTCGGTGCTTCAAAGTTTCCCGATGTAATGTGAGTCATGTGAAAAGGACTTTAATTATCTGGCTTCAAAGTGAGAATGCATTTCCGATGTAAAATCCAAGAAAAAGACTGACTAAAGGTAAATCATCATGCAAATGGTATAGGTCAAATTTCTGTATATTGTTGATGCTTTAAGTCATGTCTTCAATTGCAATTTCATTCAAATTCCAACTTCATTTTCTGTTTTGGGGTTTATCATGTTCTATTCTATCTGATTTGTATAGACTATGCAAACCAATCGCAAGTGCAAACTTGGAGCCAATGAACACATGAGGGACAGGCAGAACCACTAATATCATCGCTTGATCGACTAACGTGCACGTTCATGAAATTATACACAAAATGTAGAAATTAAATACAGTGAAAATAAATATAAAAGCAATAAAGAAAAAGACAGGGTAAAGACAAAAAAGAGAGATGTGTCAAGGGCAAACAGGCAATGAAGGCACGTTTTCCACATGGGGTTCAACAAAAACCTCCACGTCAACACAGCATCTAATGGCTCAGCTTTCCATGTGAACGCAGGAAACTCTGCTGTGAGTCAGTCTATGGATGGCCGAGGGTTCCCGATTTATGTATCCGTCCAGGTCTGCACACATCCCGACAGGTCCAAAACTGTACGCCAAAACCCGGAGAGGTTGCGGAAGAGCAGCACTGCTGTTATCCCTTATTATGTACATATTTACAGTCAGGTGAGGGGGTGATGTACGATGCTACATGTCTGCTACGTGTCTGCTGGGCGTTCAATGTGTCAATCATCTCCTTCGCAGGAAAAACTGTACTACACGTCCGATAAGGTCGTTCATCCACATGATGATGGCGTGTTCGTTGGGAGCGCGCAGCTGGGCCGCGTTGTTCCCGCCTGCACCGGCCTGTTCGGATGAGAGAAAAACAAGGCATTTAATTGAGAATCATGTTATTAAAATCAAATAGCATAGTATAATGCAAATAGACAACCGCTGCTGACAGCTAACAAGAAAAAGGTGCTGGATCCCCAATGTCCTTTAGGGATGGCATATTCTTGTAGGCCAAAAACGAGTTAGCATTTTGCACATCTGGTTTCATTGTTTAAGTCAATGGGTTTTTGGGCTGAAATAAGGTTTTTGGTAAAGACAACCTCAAGACATTTTCATCTTTTATTCTACACCATAAAATAAATTTTTTAAGCTTTACATGTCTTGAAAAAGGAAGTTGTTAACAAGTGGCTAAATGGGACTACAAATACTAATACGATATACAAAGTTTATTCTCATGATGATACAACTTTGTTGTGGTAATTTTTACTATTTTAAAAATATTAGGAATTTAATTTAACAAAGCTATGACTTTATTCTGAAAATATTACAACTTTAATCTCACAATGCTGTGACTTCATTCTTGTAATTTTGACTATTTTCAAAATATATTAACTTTAATCTCACAATGCTACGACTTTATTCTCAAAATATTATGACCTTTTTATTTATTTATTTATTTATAGAGGCATTAAAATCCTGCCATGTAACTCAAACTTCCAGGTAAAATTTTTATAAATAAAGACTGAAAGAGTCGTCAGAAGCTAAATGGTAGCATGTAGTTTGTTTGTATAGCCTATGTTTAGCTTTTTACTTCTGGCGACTGTATTTAAGCTTCAAAATTCATAAGTTGTGTTCCTTTGTGAAAATTATCATAGAGATTATTTTGTTGGCCACAGAGCCTATTTTCAGCAATAACCCATAAGCCAATGAAAAATCCTATTGGCTTTTCATCGAGGGAACCAGAGTTATGCTAACGTATTGTTGAGAGGTTGGCTTACAACAATACGTTATCACTGCAGCTATATTGCATTTGTTGGAATTGTTATCAAAATAATATATATAAAATATATAAATAATACAGTTAGCATTTCATAGCTGTAATTTTGCTTTTAAGGGCACAAACATAGCGATGTGACTCTAAATCGAGGGTTTAGCTTGAATAAAAGCATTTTAGCATAGTACACTAACTCTTATGTTGCATCTATTAATTACATACATTTCCTAAATGCTAAAATGCTTTTTAGAAAAGGGGTCGAATTTAGAGCTAAATGCTAAAAATAACACTGTTTACCTTACTAATCTACTATTTTTGAGCACATATTAGCGCACGTACGCACATGCTGAAATCATTCTGACTCGCAGCTGCTAATCTTTACAGTAAAGAGCAGCCCAGGTAAGTCCTTCAGCCTATACCGTGACACTCTGCACCACGTTGACACATGAAATACCAAGTTGAGACCTTGATGCTTTGAGGGATTTACAGTATCTTTACGCCGGTCAGATCTACAACAAACGCAATACAGGAACTAGCAGCTGCCAGGTTATCCGGTGATCTCCGAGTCTGTGAGATTTGGCAGCGGCTGACCTGAACCAGGTGGCCTCTTTCTGGCCTGCAGCTCTGCGCTGCGTTCACCCAGCATGCTGAATGACTGCGATAAGCAGCGAGGGCATTTCCCCCAGGAGACTGGCAGGAACTCGTGAGGAAACGCACTCTACAAGCCAGAAAAAAAGATGAGAAAAAAAGCCTTTCCTGTAGAGAATGAAAGGAGGATGAAAAACAGCAGGCCGGGGCGTGATCCTCACCTCCACGATAAGAATCTACTCCCGGGAGAATCTCATAAAAACTGGTATTTCAGCCCACAATCCAAACACAAATGTTTCAAAATAACAAAATTATTTATATAATTACTCATTTATATTATTTATTTTATATAATTAGTAAACCAAATTATTTATATAATATTTATATAAAGCATTTAAATAATTTACAATTCTATATATATATATATATATGTGTATATATATATATATGTGTGTGTGTGTGTGTGTGTGTATATATATATATATATATATATATATACTAATAATGTCACATTAAAAAACAAAATGTCACAAAAAAGGCCTTTTTCTTTTTCTGCTTTTTCTTTATGCAAAATCTAGTTAATTTTTTTCTTTTGGTTTTGCGGTGAAATTACCCGATTCACCTGGCTATCACACACACACACACCCACACACACACACATTCATTAATTAACTAAATCACTGAATCAAGGCAGGTGTGCGTCTATGTATACAATTGACCTGCATGGGGTCTAAATTAGGCCCTGTCATAAAACACTTTCTTTGCAAACAAAGACAGAGAGTGAAAAAAACAGCTTTTAATTCAGTAAAAGTCCTGCCAAAAATCACAACGTGCCCATGGAAGGATTGTGTATTCAGCCAGAGGAAACAGGTGAGGAGGAAGTGGAGTGAAATGGAGGGAGATTTCACCGTGTGTGTGTGTGTGTGTGTATGGTTATAGAAGAGAATCATGAGTCAGTGGGACTGTGGCGCTCAAACCGAACGTGCTTCAAAGAGAAACACTCATTTCAAATGCTGCATATTTTCACATGACATTCATTTGGACTTGAGTGAGTCAACGCTAAACCACGCATCACTGCGAGTCAATGATTTCCACAACAAAATAACTCCCGAGGTCACTGAGTTTAGGTGAACCGAATACAAGGGGTATGCAGGAAGCTTGATCTGAAGAAGTGCTGTTAACTGATATGGGTTTTCAATGGCCAGTAGCGATAAACCGAGTAGGATTGCCATTGCAATAAATAAGATAGTAATTAATTAATTAGTTACATTTATATAGCACTTTTCTGGGTACTCAAAGCGATTAACATGAAAGCGGGGAATCTCCTCAACCACGGAGATGCCGGCAGGGGTGGGTGATTAATTCAAACAATCTTTTGCATTTACCTTTTTTTTTTTTTTTAATCAAGGAATCACGGTTTTGAGTAAAAATATTAGCGAAGTTACAATTAGACATTTTGACAATACACCAATGCTACAAAATTACATAAAAATTCTGCTTCATGCATGAGACGCTGCACAAGATTAGATGTTCAAACATGTCCGTCAAGCGCACGATTACACCGAAAAACAATGGAAAAGCAGTGCAGTGCAATGAAAAACCTGTAAAGAACTACTACTGTATGTTTGATATTTAATGTTTGCATGATAGTGACAGGCTAAAATCTGCTTTTATATATATATATATATATATATATATATTCTATTTATTTATTTTTTTTAGCATACTACTGGTGTTATACAGTACTTTGCCATTTTGAACTTGAACTGCCTTGACTTTTTGGAACATATAGGATATGTTTAAGACAAGTTTATAAAATAGTTGCCTTCATATTTCATGCATTGTTTCTGCAAAGATATTTACAATTGTTTTACATTTACTCCATGTGTACACTTATATACTAATGTGTACACACATCATACACTTCATGTGTGATGACCTTAGAATTAAATTTTTTGCTATATCGCCCAGCACTAATATCAAGTGCACAATGCATAGCCTGTAGTGCGATTAAACGAAATGATTTTTAAATACATGATAATGTATAAATGCTGTACGAAGCCGAGCTATATTCACATTATATACTAGGTCTGTTAGTCCGCATTTGCAAAAACCACTGGCACGATCTCAACTGCACTAAAGCATTTACATGACATTTAAAAAGGACAAATTACTGTTTTTATCTGACTGTAATCAAACATTTTAAGTGTGTTACAAGCCCCTTATGGATGGTAAAATTTTAAATCAGCTTCAAACACAATCAGAATTCCAAGTCGGAACTTTTTGTTTAAAAATTTGGAGGGAGATTTAATACTTCCATTAATTGGACACAGATATGATGACCCAAAAACAGCCAAACAGCATAAGATTTATTGGTCTATCACTAGTTTACATAACCGTTCATATGCTGTTACGAAAGCGCAGTTGTGTGTTGCATGCACAACTTAAGCGGGTCACGAAAAGGCTCTTGGTTGTGGTGAGCGTGTCTTCAAAACCAGTGTGACACTGCAGATCGAGTAAAATGACAGAGGCGCATCCCTCTAATCAGGCACAATTAGTGCATGCGCCGCTGCGGAAAAACACAGACTTATTTACTATTTCAGCCCGTTTTGAGTCGACACAGATCAACTCTCGCCTCCTCCATCTGGGATCAATTCATCACTGTTAGCTTTAAAAACAATCTTGACACAAAAGATGGTGTTTATCTAGAGTCCTATCTGTACTGTGGGACGGGGGGCGACCAGAGAGAGCGTACGGGGGAAGAAGAGTGGCATGCTTAACTCATCTCGCAGGGACAATGGAGTCTGGCGTGGAAAAAAAACCCAGCGACCACATGCAAGAAAAACAGAGCTGCCACAACTCAACAAAGCCAGACCCCAGCAAAACAATCCTCACAGACTGTAGTGAGCTGCTAATACATTCACAGATTTACCACCAAACTACTGTAATTTACCACCAAACTACACCACAAAACATACTGAATGCACTGTACTTCTAACCCTTGCACATTTTCATCCATATCATATTAAATATAACATCTACCCCGACTAAAGGCATGTTCACACCAAGAACGATAAATATAATGATACATATAACTATATTAGTGTTCACACCAATGCACGATAATATTCAGTGTAACATAAGCATGTGCTGCAGTTTTGGCATCTGCCACTTTAAATGCTCAAGCTCTTTAAAGTCAGGTGGATTCTGATTGGCTGTCAATGTTTTATTGTTCATAAAATCACTCTGGATGTGATTCCAACAATATTGTTTCTTTGTGTTGTTTTCATCGAATTTGTACAATTATCTTCTTTGGTGTGAACGGGCCTTAAAGTCAACTGAAGCATCTTTATCTACTCGAAGAAGCATCCAACGATTCATTCCAGCTGCGCCAGAAAGGACAGTTGAGATTCTGACTCACTGCTAGTCACTCAAACAGCACTAACCCTCAGGGAGACCGTAAGTTTGCAGCATGTTCGGACATAAACACATG